GGGCCGGAGCCGCTGCAGCTTCGGGGCAGCCCGGAGGCCACCACCCGCGAGTAGATGTCCCGGAAGAGGCTCTCCATGCAGGCCGTCAGGTAGATGGCGGCGTGCTCGTGGATGCGCAGCGCCACGCGGCTGTCCACCATCCAGCGGTACACGCGGCCCACGGAGAAGGTGAGGCCGCAGCGCGCCGACTTGCCACGGCCCAGGCGGTCGCCGCCCGCACTGCTCATGTTGTAGAGGGACAGCGCGGCCAGCGCGGCCGCCGTGCAGTGCGCCGCCAGGCCCCAGGACAGGACGATCTCCATGGCGCTCTGGATCTCGTACTTGGTGCACTTGGCGAAGCGCAGGCTCAGGCGCTGCGCCTCTTTGGCGATGCGTACCAGCGCCCGGCTCACCAGCATGGACAGCTTGGCCAGCGCGTCTTTGGGCAGGCCGCCGGGGGCCGCCGGGCCTGCGCGGGGATCCCGCGAGCGCAGCAGCAGCACCTCCAGCTCCTGGAGGGTCCAGGGGACCTCGTCGAGGTCCGGCAGCAGCCGCGAGCAGTGCTGGCCGGCGCAGTCCAGCCCCTCGGAGTCCTCCACCAGGGCAGTGTTGACGGTGTCAAAGCTGTTGTGCCGGCTGTGCATGGAGTCAGCTAGAGGCGGCCAGCAGCTCCCGCCATACGGGTGCGAGTCGGAACAACACAGGGACAAGTTGGAGGAGCGCACCGAGTCCGCCGCGCCACCATAACCCGAGTCCAGCGTCAAATCCTCCAGCGTCCTCACCACCGGCTTCTTACCTCTCCTGGCCATCGCTGCGCCACTTCATGCTGCGGCCGCCGGGGAGCCGAGGGGAAGGAAGAGCAGGCGCAGCGGGCGCCCGGGCGCAGGGAGAGCCGAGTTCGCGCCGCCTCAGCTCACTTTTCCAGCAGGGGCTCGCAGCAAGCGCCACTACTTTCGGCGGCCTCCGCGCGCTGCCGCCGCTGGAATGCACAGCGCAGACCCAGCTCTCATCTTCCAGAGGCCGGGCAGAAGCTGAGGCGCGCTGAGGCGCGAGCCAGACCGAGGAAAGCTCGCGACCGGACTCGCCCCTTTCTCCCAAGAGAAAATTAAAGTGTCTGACCAGATCCTCCCTGGGCCCAGCTGCGCGCAGAAGCCGCCCGGCGCCGGCCACCGTGCTCGCGGGGAGGAAAGGGACCCTGTTGCCACCGCCGCAGCAGCTCCGCCGGCAGCTGGCTGCCGACTGCCGGCTCCCGGCTCCCGGCCAGGCTCGGTCCGCGCCCTCCCGCCCCGCACTGAAGCGCAGCCGCTGGCGCGTCCGCGGCAAACCCTGCCGAATCCCGCAAACCCGGAGCAGCCAGGGGGCGGGCACATGCAAAGCAGGGCCGGCGGAGAGCCAATGGGATGCGAGAATGCTAATTACCCTTTTTTTTTACATTCTTCAGCCTTGCAACCCCGCCCCTCAAACACGCCTCCGGCCTTGACCGAGGCTGCAGGAAGTGGGGAGCAGAGGCCTGGGGCTAGGGGGCGGAAGGGGTGCTATGAAAGCGTAGAGATGCAGATCCCGCCCCGTTACTGCTATCCTTGCCCCCCAGCTTTAGTACCGACCTGAAGGTGGTGGGCTGGGCAGGTGACTCCTCAACCACTCAACGAAGTGTGCTCCCCCCAGCGGTTCCCAAGGTGTCTTGCCAGAGTGGCTTTCTATACCTGCATTTCACGTTCCTTCCTCTTTCTTTAATACATGAAGTTGTTGTGGTTTTTTTTTTCTCCCTCTCCAAGCTCCTCCACCTCCGGGTCCCCAAACCAGTTAATGTGACTCCTTTTCACCCCCAAATTTCTATCGTAGAGGAAATAAGAAATCAGGAGCAGAGGGGTTGGAGGGGGTAGGGGCAGACACCACTGGGAAGGTGAATCGCAGGATGTAATTAGTCCCCTGCTACCATGTCACATTAACCTGGTGTTGCTAGGAGGACCTTGCATCCATCTTTCAAAGGGAAGGCACCTGCCCCACCTTGCCATCTGGTAGGTGTGGTTGCAGACAACTCTGCCACACAAGAGGTAAATTTGCAGGGAGTTTTCTTTTTTAGCTAAAGAAAGATACAACATAGGTATGACTTAGCTGCATTTGTGTCAAAGGACATTGTCTTCTTATTTGTTCCCGTCTACCAGAGCGGGAACCCTATCTTAGTTCTCTGGGGATCTCCAGCTTCCTCTGTCTGCACCTGGGAGGGGGAGAGGGGATTGACCTGGAGAAAACACCTCCTACAGGAAAGTAGCCCAGATCTCTCAATTCCAGCTTGGCTACTTTAGGGGGGCACCCCCCTTCCTTCTGAGGCTATAGAAATGGGGGCCCTTGTAGCAAATGCTATGTTCCTGTGTCTAACTGCATGTCTAGAGTGCACTCGGGACCAGAGGCACCATGCATGGGCCTGGCACAGAGGAGGTGGTCAGAGTTATTTGCTATAAATGGGTGAAGGAAAGGACATGTTTTTAAGCTAATGGTTTGAAAATTCAACAATGGGCTTTGCCAAATAACCCAGTATATGGTATGTGTTTCCCAGATCTGTCAACCCAAATCCACCATCACTTTCTCTTCACTACAATAAACCAACTACTCAGAGTGGAAATTGAAAACCATCCATCCTTTCACCCCAATAAACCTCACCACCCTGTTGCTACCACACAATACCTATGTTCACTTCCTCTCACTTTAATTATTATAATGGTTTCCCCTTTCCTGCTTTTTTCTTTTCCAAACCACACAATCCAAGAATCTTCCATTCCCCTTGAAAAAAATGCAAAGTCTCTCCTCTATCACCTTCCAGGCAGTGAAAGTTAATACCAACTAGCTGGCTTCAGGGATTTCTTCATTCACTTTCCAGATTCTTTCTCCATATGAATCTAAAAGTTTTATAAGGGATGGTGATGATTCGTTTAATGTGTCGATTTGAGTGACTCACAGCTGGCCAGGTTAAACATTGTTTCTGAGGGCATGTAGTAGGGGTGTTTCCAAGGAGATTAGTGCTTAAATTCGTAGACTGAATAGATTGCAGTCAGAATGTTAGCAAGTCTGTGGAGGGCTGAACACAACCAACCATAAAGGAATAAAGGGTGAAAATTTCTTCACTTTTCCCTGCCTGGCTGATTGAGCTGGAACCTCTCCATCTCCTCTTCTTGAGCCCTGGGATAGAAGTTCCCCTGGTTCTCAAGTCCTCGAATGTGAACGGGACTATTCCACCAGTTTTCTGGTTCTCCAGCTTGCAGCCAGCAAATTGTGGGACTTCCCGGTCTCCATAATCACATGATCCAGTTCCTCGTGTAAATCTCTAATTTTTTTCTGGAAAGCCAACTAATACAGGGACACATGGTCTTTAATGCTCTGAGCTCTACCTTTCTATATCCTCTTTGTTAACATTCTGGCCTCGTGGACATAATTACACTCACACAAACAGCTATACATAGATACACTCACATACCTACCCAGAGGTACACACGGATACATGCACACACCCGAGCACACACACTCATGTGGTCTACACTTAAGTCACTCGCTGCTTCATCTGACATATGTTTTCCAGACATTCCCTGAGCTCAATACTCGGGTTGTCCTCTCCTCCACATGGCCAACGCATCCCCTAAGATCCAGCTCCAAGATTACAGCCACTGTGAAGTTTTCTTCAGGGCTGCCTGTTCTCCATGCAACCCAGATGCAGAAAGGTGTCTCTTTCTCTGTTGCTTGGGGTTTGCTCCCAGGGTCTTGTCTCTCCTTCCCTGCACGCATCCTTAGTGGTGTCATTCTCTGCTGCTGTCAGTTCCCACATGTGCACTGATGCCTAGTTATGACCACTCAGTAGAGTGTAGAAGGCAATAGAACCCAGCAAAGCCTCTTGCATAGGGGGAAAAGGAGACTGAAAATGATGGACTTAATGAACAGTGACTTGTTTTCTTCTATGGCACCTATCAATTTGGGTTCAAGTACTGCCTCTCCCAATTTTCTAATCATGTACTCCAAATTCACTCATCAGTTCCTTTTGAATCTCCTTTACCCTGTCCTTGAAATGTACAATATAATCACATCTGCCTTTATAAGGCATTTTGGAGCCTTGTGAGATTTCATTACATAGAGGAATTTTATGGGGTCCCACACATAATAAACTATACATTTATGTTATTATCTTCTACATTTTCTTATTTTCTCTAACAAACATTTCTTATAAGTTCAGGAAAAAAAAAATCACAAGTGTTACATAGAATATCCAGCTCATCTTTCAAGGTTGGGCTGACATGCACCTCCTCTGGGAGACTTTGCCAAATGTCAACAGATGTGGCCTTCCCTCTTATGATCTAGGTGTGTACATGCCTCCTCTCCCCATCCAGAGGACTCCTAGCCAAAATCTAGGCTTTGTTCCTCTAACACAGCTCCACGGATCTTGAGTGTGTCCCTTAGTGTTATGAATGAAACTCAGCTTGCATCTCTCTCATTTACCAAAGGAAATCGTAACAGTAATATGAAGAGTCTGAAGGTGGGTGACTCCAGACACTGAGAATGGTAAACACATCAACCAAATGTTAAATATTGATCCCATACTTTTAGAAAATCCCATGACTGCTAACAAAGATGGAGAAAATTTAAATAATACAAAATTCCATCCTCATAGAGGTTATCAATATTAACTGCTTCTTATCGCTCCTCATTTTTCTCTTTTTCTGCTAAACATATATATTTTAACAGAGTTGGAATTAGTCTATAAATTATTTTGCATTTTGATTTATATCTTCAAGAAATTTCTTCAAATTTTATATTATAATCATTTTCCCATGCTGTTAAATATTCACCCCCAAAACTTTTAGGCCACCAAATATATCAATATGTTTATACCTTAATCTGTCTGTTGATTCCTCATGTGATTGTTTCTGTGTTCTAACTGGTATAGGTAAAAGCTAGGATGAGCCTCTGTACATAAATAACACTCTTCTTTATCACTGGGAGTTTTCTATATTTATCCTCTAAGAAATTCAAATGAGCAATGAACAGAGAATAAGATTTAACAATAAGGAGAAAAGCTAAGAATTAAATTCCTGTGATTGTTTTGTCTATCCGATTAGCAAAGATTTATAAAGGCAGTCATGATAAATGGGAGTCACAATGGGGCATAAACTCAGTCAATTTTTGGGAGGGCAGTTTGCCAAAGGTATCAAAATGTCAACATGTGTCGCTTGTGACTTCCCAGAAATCATATGTTCTGATGTTACCCAAGGTAGTCCTTGAGAATCTCTCCCAGTTATAAAGGATTGTCTTGGGAATGTTGTTTTCACATAGGATTTTAGGAAATCACCTAAGTATCTTTCAATAAAGGCAGATGAAATGGATTATAGTAATTCCTACAAGGGAATAGGAAGCAATTACAAAGACTAGTGGTGGTGATCTTTATTTCCATGACATATTGGGGAGTGAATAAATTATTGAAAATAGGTTTTGAAATTGCACGTGTAATGTGATCCCATTTATGCAGAATGCTTTCTATAGAGCTAAATATGTATATAAGTATGTAAACTTGCCTGAAAAGATGAAAAAGATAGCTCTTAAGTAGTTGTTTAGAATCTACTTTACCCCATCTTTTTATTTTGTTCTGTGGTGATTTTAACTTTCCTCTTTGTACAATTTACAATAAACCAATATAATTTTTATTAGAGCCAAAAAACTATTTTCAAAAGAAAATGAAGTTATCTTCTGCCCATTGTCCCGAAGTCTATCTGGACTTGATCAAAGCACTAACATAATCCATCGTCCTTCTGGTTTCTGGAATCCAAACAGCAAGCTTGGCAACTCACCCAACAATGAAAATGGGAGTCAACTCCCTTCCTTTGAACTCACCTGTGTTGGGTGCTTTGTCAACGGCTCCCTAAGCATCTTTGTCAACTGCTCCCTAAGCAGCGAGGCCACTGGATTTGAAGTCTGGCTCCAGTATGTATAGTTCCTCAGCTATGTATCTCGAGCAAGTTCCATAACCTCTCCAAGACTCACCAAGCCTTGGTTCTTCACCTCTAAGTGGGGAAGGTAACACCACGTGCCTCCATAACTTGGCTATGAGGGGTAAGTGGAATCCTTTCAACAGCATCTGGCCATCACTGGAAATGCTCACTTGTGTGGGTTGCTTTCATTACAGGGAATGTCAGTGGTGGAGGGGGGGTTGGGGGGTTCTGAGTGCTCAGCTCCCTGTGGGCCCTCCCTGTGTGGAACTTTTACTCAAAAGATAGATGTTAATAGAGCTGCAAGTGCATTGGGTTTCAGAAAAGAGGAGGTTTGAGGACTGCGCCTGTGAATTA